AGCCGAAGGCAGACGCTTAACCATCTGAGCCACCTAGGCGCCCCCCAAAAATTTTTTTAATCTATTTTTAAACCTTGATTCCTTGCTCCCTTGGCAACTGGAAATAACAAATTTCGTTTACTAAGCTGGTAATAGATAAGGTTTTCTCCATCATTAAGACCATTATTTACAACTACTATATGATATAAAAAATTGCCATAGTTATAGCAGGTTTATTTTTTTTAAACTTTTTATTTATTTATTCATGGGAGACAGAGAGAGAGAGAGAGGCAGAGGGAGAAGCAGGCTCCCAAGGAGCAGGGAGCCTGGGGCGGGACTCGATCCCAGAACCCTGGGATCATGACCTGAGCCGAAGGCAGACGCTTAACCATCTGAGCCACCCAGGCGCCCCCTCAACTGCTTTTATAATCTACCTTGTTATATGTTCTTCAAGTTGTAGCTTTTGAAGGGAGTTGTTTTTCAGAAGGCAGTATTCTTTCTTCTGTTAAAGAGGTAGACAGTTCCCGAAGGCAAGCTCCATTCCCTGACACTGTCTGAAGCATAAAAATTGCTTTGATGCATAGTGAATTCTAATGCTGAGACATCCCAGAGACATAGTGTGTAAGTCTTTTATCAAGGCTTCCCTAGTACAGTCATGTCATCAGCTAGTTTAATCTGATAATGGACAATGCCTGTTTATTTTTCCTTGTCCGTGGGATTTTGTTGATATCTGTGGAACTTGCCACTCTTGCACATTCTGTTAGTTGCATCAAGATGTTAAAATTACAGATGTTAGTGAAAATTAAAGATTTACTTTAACATATTTTACTGAGCAATTGTTGTGTTAGGCCTTATAAGATGAAAAAAGATACGTTTTTTGCCTTCAAAGAATTTACCATCCAGTAGGAAGGAAAGAAATAATACATAAAACAAGACAGAAAGATGACAGTTATTTTTAATCCCCTGTCTTTGTTTAGGTGTTTCCAAGCCAGGATCCTCTAGATCGAGCAGATTTCAATGCTGTGGAGTATATCAATACCCTATTCCCAACAGAACAAGTGAGTATAGAGTTTCCTTCATTTCAGTGGTTTCTGGCTCATCCTAAGTGTTATGATTGGTGTGTTATACTACACAATCTAAGGAGACTTGATAAACAAGTGAGAGTTAAATTCAGATCAAACCCATTGTAACCGACTGGAAGTGGAAGGTAGCTTATACCAAATACTGTTGTGTGAGAGTGAAATTCTTTGTATTGTGAGCATATTATTAGAAATTATACCTTTAGGGGCGCCTGGGTGGCTCAGTCGTTAAGCGTCTGCCTTCGGCTCCGGTCATGGTCCCAGGGTCCTGGGATCGAGCCCCGCGTCGGGCTCCCTGCTCCGCGGGAGGCCTGCTTCTCCCTCTCCCACTTCTCCTGCTTGTGTTCCCTGTCTCGCTGTGTCTCTCTCTGTCAGATAAATAAATACAATCTTTAAAAAAAAAGAAAAAGGAAGTATACCTTTAGCTTATAAGAGTCCTCCCACATTTTCCATAGTATATTGGAAAGTAGGAAGGATTTTTAAAGCTAACAGGGAAGAGTAGGAGTGAAGTGGACAGGATGACCCTAGAATCATACCACTATTTTCACTCCTGTTCTGAGATGTAAATTTTTAGACTTTATTTTTTACTTTGTTGTGTTGGGTGATTTGCCTATACAGATGAGTTTTTCTTACAAAACTGGTTTTTGGGTGTGTAGGTGAGAAGTAGATCAGAATTAGGAACAGCAGAGCTTGGGGCACTTGGGTGGCTCAGTCTGTTAAGCCTTCAACTCTTGATCTCAGGGTCCTGAGTTCAAGCCCCACTTTGGGCTTGTAGAGCCTGCTTTAAAAAAAAAGAAAAAAGAAAAAAAAAGCAGAGTTGGGAGGTCAGCGAGAGTTCTGCTTGTTTTTTCATTTATGAATTCAGCAAATGATCAGTGGGCACCTGTCAGGTATTATTGGTCACTGTGCTAGGAGCTGGGGACACAAAGATGAATAATGCCCAGTCCATGCCCCCTTGAAGTGTACATGATCAAGGTTGGGGGGAGACACTGGTGAATACTGGAAGAGAGGTATGCAATGGTTTAGTGAGGAATAAGGGAAGAGTTTTTCTTAAGAAAATCAAAACCTCAGAGAGGAGGCAGCCCTTCTGCCAAATCTTAAAGGAGTCATTCTTTCAGTTAGAGGCATTTATTAAGTGTCTACTAAGTGCCAGCACTGTTTAGAAACTGGAGAGAAGTGGTAAATGTGATGGGCAAGTTCCTGTTCTTGTGGAGTCTAGTGTAAGGAAGAAGGCAATAAACAGATCAACAAATACATATAAAAGAAATTATCAAGCGTGGTTGATGCTGTGGTAAAAAGCAGGCATAGCGATAGAATATGGCAGCATGGGGTGGGGGGCTTCTTTAGATGAGTGGTCAGGGAAGGCCTCCGTGAGGTACTTACCTATAAACCAAGACTTGATACCTGTGAAGGGGCCAGGCTTGTGGCAGGTCTGGTAGAACACTGTTCAAGGCAGAGTGAACCACTAGGTGAATCTTCCAGGATGACGGAAAGAAGGTCATTCTAAGCACAGGGCAAAGGCTCAGAGATGAGAAACAAAGTGCGCTCAGGGAGCATGGCTTCCTAGGAGATGGGGCTGAAGGGGTTGGCAGAGCAAGAGCCCTGAAGGGACTCTGTTCTCTGGGCTTGCAGACTCCAGTTTTGTGGATACCACACACCTCACAGTGGGTGAGGTTTTTCACTGGGCTAAATTTTAAGCTTGTATACCCTCAAAATATTATGCACATATCCTAGTACCGATCTTAAATAAATTGGGTTTTAGTAGTGTTTGTCATATAAATAATAAAAATAGAGGTTTTAATGTTTTCTCTTCACACTCTAATGGGCATTATTGCAAACCCCTTGGGGATGTGCACACCCTGCGCTGGAGACCATGACTCTAGGCAGTGGGTGTTCATTCGGGGACTCTTGTCAGAATCATGACTGGATCAGATTCACATTTTAAAAATTCCACCTGGCAGCAGTGCGGGGGTTGAACTGGGGGACGGCAGAACCGGAAGACAGGGAGACCAGTTAGCAGACCCCTGTGATGGATCACTTAAGAGGGACAGGGAGAACCTGAGTGAACACTGGGATGGAGAGAGCAAGATCGGAAAGCTATTTAGGAGTCAGAAGTCAGAATTTGCTGGTTGAAAGGACGTAGAGTCTAAAATTTCCTCACTTACTGAACAAAAAACACCTCCTCTGCCTAGTTCTCAAAGAAATTTGGGGCTAGAGGCTGAACAAGATAGATGTGGTCCTTACCAACATAGAGCTTCCAGTCTACCTTGATCGGTAGTAATTAAACCATTAACAGATTAACAGTAAGTTATTATGACTCTACAATGACTTGTTTGTATAATTATTATTACTTGTTGCTTGCTCTCAAAAGAGTCCTAAGTTCTGCTACAACTATAATAATAGTTAACATTTATTGGGCACACCAGACACCATTCTAAACATTTAATAGTAATATATTTACCACCTTGTTAACATGCTTTTTTTGTTGTTGTTTTGGGTTTGTTTTTTCTTTAAAGATTTTATTTATTTGAGAGAGAAAGAGATCACGAGCAGGGGGGATGGGTAGAGGGAGAAGCAGACTCCCCGCTGAGCAGGGAGCCCAACTCGGGATTTGATCACAGGACCCCGGGATCATGACCCAAGCTGAAGGCAGACGCTTAACCAACTGAGCCACCCAGGTGCCCCCAATATGCTTGTTTTATGATGAGAACAAGGAAGAACAGAGGGAGAAAGAATGCTCAGCGTAAATGTGATAGCAATGCCATGAAGAAAGCATGCTGAGTACTATGAAAACAGAGCACCCACTGCCTTACATATTAAGTCTGAGAGGTCCAGAAACACTTCACTGAAGAAATGGCATTTCAGTTGCATGTGATACACCAAACGAAGGATTTTGAACTTTGACTTCCAGCCTGCCAAGTGGGTGGATGTTGGCACCTTTACCCGAAGTTGGGAGTAAGAGGAAGAGTAGGCTTCAGTGGTGAATAGGGTAGGAGTAGGGTGTAAGAGTTAGCTAAGTTTTTAACATTTTTGGGCCATCCAGGTGGAAATATGTACTTGGATATTTGAGTCTGGAGCTCATAATCCCCATAATTGTTAATATTTTGGCACATATTCTTCCAAACTTTTTCTAACAGACATGTTAATTTTTTTAAATGAAGTTGGAAAAATGGTATGATTCTCTGTGATTGTCTTTGAAGTTTCACAGATAGCCTTTAGAGCGCATTGTTTTCTGTGAAAGGAATTCTAGGAATTAGCTAGAGATAGATCTGGGAACAACTGGTATAAAGACAGCAGTTTTAGTTGTGAAAATGTCATCTGCCCCACCCTATCAAGAAGGCTGACTCATCAAAGCAAAGATAACTGTTAGATTTGGAAATTATACAGGAAACCACCAGGTTCTTACTTCTTCCTGGTTTGTTTTTGTATGTATTTGATTTTAAATAACTGAAGGTACGGGGCATCTCCGTGGCTCAGTTGGTTAAGTGTCTGCCTTCGACTCAGGTCGCAATCCTAGGATTGAGCCCCGCGTTGGGCTCTCTGTTCAACAGGGAGCCTGCTTTTCCCTCTCCCTCTGCTCCTCCCCCTGCTTGTGCTCTCTTTCTCCCTCTCTGTCAAATGAATAAATAAAATCTTTAAAAAATAAAAATAAATAAACTACTGAAGGTAACAGTAAACATTTGTTATAACACAGATTCAGTTATATGTCTTATCTAATTACAACTCCATGTATATGATAATATATAGCAAAGTTTTTTTTCTTTTTTTTAAAGATTTTATTTATTTGACAGCAAGAGAGCACAAGCAGGGGGAGAAGCAGAAAGAGGGAGAGGGAGAAGCAGGCTCCCTGCAAAGCAAGGAGCCCCATGTGGGACGGGACTCAATCCCAGGATCCTGGGATCAGGATCTGAGCCAAAGGCAGATGCTTAACTGACTGAGCCACCCAGGCGCCCCGTAATGAAGTTTCTTAGCAAACTAAGAAAATTTATGACACAAGGTTATACCTTTATTTCTCCAATCCCAGATTTATATTTAGCAGTTCATTTTCCAACCCAGATTCCCACGGACCTTAATAAAAAGGTAATAGAAAATAGTGGCATGATTTAGAATTTCTTTCATCTCTTGCTAGATCTTGGGCAAATCCCACCTATATCATGGACCTACAGTAAATTCTTCTGAATCATGAGTTTAGAATATTTACAGTAGATGTCAGTATATTAAGAATAAAGTTAGTGTCACTCTAAGGAGGAGAAGGATGTGTATGTGGGTTCTATTGAGTAGCAGTTACTTGCAAGTCTGTGGTTGCCTGGAGGTATCTGCCTAGAGGCGAGGAGATCCCTAGATGTTTCTAACTCACTAGGTCCAAGTGGGAGGAACTCAGTTTTCTGTATTTAATAGGGCTAAAGAGTAGCCAGGTTTGGTAGCAATGATCTGGAAAACTTTTCTAGTCTCCTAGTAGAAAACTGAAGATAATCATTTGTCATGTTTTCACTAGAGGTTTGATTAGGAGAATCTAGATAAAATCTATTAAAAAATGAATATGAAACTAATAAAACTAAGAACTTTGAAAGAAGAGTCATGTGAAGCTGTTTTTAATGACCCCCAAAATGCTCTGAGTCTGTGTTGTTAAGTGAAAACAGTAAGATGCCAAATTGTCTATCATCCCAGTTTAATTTTTTTTAAGCCACATATTTGCTTAGAAGGAACAGTAGAAAGCAATATACCAAAATGCTAATGGTGATTATTTTCTAATGGAGGTACAGTGCGGAGTTCTGTATTTTCTGTAATTAGCAAGAATTGCTTTTAGATTCAGGAAAGACTTTCAGGGGCGCCTGGGTGGCTCAGTCAGTTAAGCAGCTGCCTTCAGCCCAGGTCATGATCTCAGGGTCCTGGGATCGAGCCCCGCATCAGGTTCCTGCTCAGCAGGGAGCCTGCTTCTCCCTCTCCCCCTGCTGTGCTCACTCTCTGTGTCAAATAAATAAAACCTTAAAAATAAAAAAAAAAGGAATCAGGGAATACTTTTCAATAACTAAAACATTTCTAAATGATAAAACTGTACAACCACATTATAACTAAACCAGATGGGTGACTCTCAAAGAGGAGATGTATCACCTCCAGCCAGGGTCACCAATCTGGGTTCTTCTTTGTTGTTTCTGAGCCTTCCTGCCTGGCATCTTTTTTTTTTTTTTTTTTAAGATTTTATCTGACAGAGAGAGACAGCGAGAGAGGGAACACAAGCAGGGGGAGCGGGAGAGGGAGAAGCAGGCTTCCCGCAGAGCAGGGAGCCCAACGCGGGTTTATTTATTTATTTTTAAAGATTTTGTCTCTTTGACAGAGAGAGACACAGCGAGAGAGGGAACACAAGCAGGGAGAGTGGGAGAGGGAGAAGCAGGCTTCCCGCCGATGCGGGGCTCAATCCCAGGACTCCGGGATCATGACCTGAGCCGAAGGCAGACGCTTAACGACTGAGCCACCCAGGCGCCCCTAAAAGTTAACATTTTTAAATAGTTCTTTTTAAATACCAAAACAAAAAAATGTTTTTAAAGGAACGGGTTCCAGCAGAGATAGTCAATGTAGGGACTGTTATGCCCAATTTACACGTGAGGAAGTATAAATTCAGAGAGCCTAAGCAGCTTGCTCTCTGAACACGGGGCAGGTTTGTAATGCAGAGCTAGGCCAAATCTAGGTCCTCCGAGAAACTCAGCTGTTACCACAGTGGTGACTTACACCCAGGCTGGTTTCAGAGTGACTTGACAGCAGATCCCTCAATTAAAATAACTTCTGTTTTCTGAGAGTTATCTTCACCTCAGGTGGATTTCTGAAAATTCTGAGTAACCATTGCCTTTGTCAGAACAATAGACAAGATGTAAATGGCCTGGTCTGACATCTCAAACACTGGAGACCTGGTTCTTGGCAGGCTCCTGGCCTCCTCCTGCCACTAGAGGTTGCTGGTAGCAATTTATAAACACAATTCCTATATCACCCCCCGATTCCTTCTCAGGTAAAATATCTGTTGAGGGAAAGGGAAAGAGGAGTTATAAAGTTGTATTTTGACAACTTGAGTTAAAATGGTGCTATAAAATTGTACTATCTCTATTCCACTAGGGGGCACCATTTCCTCGCATTTTCTGCTGGATAAGGTTGGAAATAGTCCATTTGTTTTTGTCATTGTCTTAAAAGTAGAAATAATGTTATTATAATTACAGTAGCAATGTATAACCAGTTGTAGAGCAATTAGTAAATATGTATAGGCAAAAAGAAGAAAAAATTAAAATCCTTTTCTTAGATTACAACTACTGCTACTGATTTTGTAGTTTACAGCTACTAGTATAGATTACAAAGCTACCAGTGTCTATCCTTCCAGACATTTTTTCTAATGGACCTACAAACTCAGAAAAAATAGATTGATTTATTTATTGAAATATAATATATTGTAGACACGTACATAAATCATAAGTATACAACTTGATGAATTTTCACAAAATGATTACAGCCATGTAATCACCATTCAGATCAAGAAATAAGACACTAGGGGTGCCTGGGTGGCTCAGTCAGTTGAGCATCCAACTCTTAATTTTGGCTCAGGTCATGATCTCAGGATCCTGGGATTGAGCCCTGTGTGGGGCTCTGTGCTCAGCTTGGAGTCTAAGATTCCCTCTCCCTCTCCCTGCCCTCGCTCCTGCGCTTTCACACTCTCTTGCTCACTTGCTCACTTGCTCGCTCGCTCTCTCAAATAAATAAACAAATAAATAAAATCTTAAAAAAGGAGGGGCACCTGTGTGGCTCAGTCAGTTAGGCGTCCAACTCTTGGTTTTGGCTCAGGTCATGATCTCCTGGTTGGGAGATCCAGCCCTGCATTCGGCTCCATGCTCAGTGGGGAGTCTGCTTCCCCTCTCCCTTTGCCCCTCTTCCTGCTTGTGCACTCTCTCTGTAAAATAAAAAGAAAGAAGACATTAATACAACTTCTTTAAATTTTTTAAAAAGATGTATCTATTTGAGAGAGAGTGTTGTGGGGGCAGAGGGAGAGAATCTCAGAGAATCTCAAGCAGACTTCCCGCCGAGGGCAGTGCCCACCCTGGGGCTTGATCTCAGGACCCTGAAATCATGATCTGAACCAAAATCAAGAGTTAGGCACTTGGGTGCCTGGGTCTCAGTTCTTCAGCATCTGCCTTCAGCTCAGGTCATAATCCCGGGGTCCTGGGTTTGAGCCCCACATCAGGCTCCCCATTCTGCAGGAAGCCTGCTTATCCCTCTCCCACTCCCCCTGCTTGTGTTCCCTCTCTCGCTATGTCTCTCTCTGTCAAATAAATAAATAAAATCTTAAAAAAGAGTCCAGCACTTAACCGACTGAGCCACCCAGGTGCCCCTATCTTTAGATGGACCCTTCTTGCCTCCTCATAGTAACTACCTTCTTCAGAGATAATGTCACTATGCTGCTGGCTTCTTTTTTTTTGTTTTTAAGATTTTATTTATTTATTTGACAGAGACACAGCGAGAGAGGGAACACAAGCAGGGGGAGTGGGAGAGGGAGAAGCAGGCTCTCCGCTGCTGCTGCTGGCTTCTAACATGAGAGAATAGTCTCATTCATTTTTGAACTATATGGAGTCATACAATATATGCTCTTGTGTCTGGCTTTTTTTGGTGCAGAATTATATTAGTAAGATTTATCCTTGTTGTTTTGTGTTGTAGTCACTTGTTTTTGTTTCTGTATTTTGTTTTATGAATTTGTCACAATCCTATATACCAGGGATTGGAGAACTTTCTATAAAGGGCTGGATAGTAAGTATTTTAGGCATTGTGGACCATTCTGTCTCTATTGCAACTATTCAGCTCTACCTTTGTAGCTCAAAGGCAGCTGTAGATATTATGTAAATGAGTGGGCATGACTGTGTTCCAATAAAACTTTATTTACAAAAAATAGATACCAAGCTGGAATTTGCAGTAGTTGCCAACAACTGCTATACTTTTTTTTTTAGATTTAATTTGTTTATTTATTTATCTATTTAGAGAGCAGGGGGAGGGGCAGAGGGAGAGAGAGAGACTCTCAAACAGACTCCCCCCTGAGTGCAGATCCCGACATGGGGCTGGATCTCTGTTTTTGTTTGTGTGTTTTTTTTTTTAAATAAAATTGTATCACACTCTGATGAAATTTTTTGAGATAAATAGTCTTGATAGCTCATCATTTCTGTAAAAAGAGGAATTCTAGAAAGTGAAATAATAGCTGTCACTTTCCTTCTTTATCGTAGTCTCTGGCAAACATAGATGAAGTTGTGAACAAAATTAGACTGAAAATAAGGTAAGTCACACCATATGATTATTAAAAATTAATGAAAAGTATGCTGTTAATTTAGTTAATCACATTCTGGATTACACTTACCTGTTAAAACACTGAAATCTCAAGTTTGCTGTTTATGACAATTTTTTTAAAAATAATTCTTTTATCTGGGTTTGCATATGAACCTCATGGCAAAGAATTTGATTCTTTCATCAGTCTTCAATTATTTATAAGTAGGGAAGGAAGCTTTAACCATTCAAAATGGTTGGTCATAAAAGGGGGCAAAAGCATTTCTACTGTATTTTTAATAGTTTTATTTCCTTAGCAGATTTACCTTTTTTTGTACTCCCAAGGCTTAGGTAGAAGGATGGGCATATACATGTATCCCTTGGCACGTACCAGCTAACAGGATGGTCAGATCTGCTGGTTGGCATTTGTGGTAGCCCAAGATTAAATGTTGTGATTGGGGCACCTGGGTGGCTCATTCGTTAAGCATCTGCCTTCGGCTCAGGTCATGATCCCAGGGTGCTGGGATCAAGCCCTGCATCGGGCTCCCTGCTCGGCGGGAAGCCTGCTTCTCCCTCTCCCACTCCCCATGCTTGTGTTCCCTCTCTCGCTGTCTCTCTCTGTCAAATAAATAAATAAAATCTTTAAAATAAATAAATAAATAAATGTGATTAATCTAGGATGTGCTTGTCAGAGTTAGCCATCAAGTGTCCTTCCTCCCTAGTAGCCTTTTTCTGGTTTATCTACGTCTGGATTTCCAGTTTTGATATATGGCAAATGGTCAATGTCTGTTCACTGTAATTGATATTATAGTGGTTGATGTCATTACTTCAAATACAGTTTTTTTGGGTTTTTTTGTTTGACTTTTGATGAGGAGAAGCCTTCATTTGAATCCAGGGGATGATTTCTTTTTCCCTTACAAGCTTTGGGTCTTTCAGTGAAGACCTTTGCCATGAATGTATTGTTTAGTTGGACGCCTCTTGTTGTTTTGGTGGACTTCAGCTGTAACAATCCTAGTAGAGACTGCTAAGTTGTCCAGGATTTGCACAGAAAATGGGAATTCCCTAATGATCCCCAAATCACTGCAGACTGGTTATTTTCAGCTTTCTCCCAACATACCTTTAAAAGACCCTTTATATGAAAAATGAAATTGATCTAAATTTCTCTGGTTGAGGTGCCACTAAATGGTCGCTGTGGGAGCCAGAGGTCACAGACCCATGTACCACACAGCTTGCACAATCAGGGTCCAGAGCGTGAAGCACTGATGTCATGTGGCACTCTAGCTCCTTAACCCTTTAAGGTTTCTGAGGAAATTACTGAGGATTTTGTGTGGGGTAATTTGAATTTTCTGACTTGTTCCCATAAAGTTTCAGCAACATCGTCATCCCTGGTTTTCTCCATTGAAAAATACTAAACGTTACATTGGCCCATTTGGACAGCTCTGAATATTAAGAGTAGCCTTTTTAAAAGACAAAGACTCAGTCTGTGCTGGCCTTGGCTTCTCACACTACTCTTGCTGTCTTCCTTTTATCGCTCTGACTTGTTCAGTTTTCTGGACAAGTAGTTGCAACCAGCAGAAGTTGACGGGTAAGTTATCACCTCTTTTTCTTTTGGTCACCCTAGAATGGAGGTTGTTTTAATGATTCTTATCCTTTAACTTTTTCACTAGGAGACTGGATGACAATATTCGAACTGTTGTAAGAGGTCAAACAAATGTGGGGCAGGATGGCAGGCAAGTAAGTAACTTATTCATACTCTCCAGATTTCTTCATGACCCAACAACCAAATGACCAAAATGTTGATCCGCCTGCTTGTAGAGAGCACTTCCTTACTGAGGCGTTCCACACGCAGCAGGAAATGTGTCTGCCTTGTCCCACTAATACCAGACCAGCAGTGAGCTCTCGCTCAGTGTCTGCACAACCAGGAGCATACACAGCTCGCCCAGGCCAAGGCCGCACAAGCCCAAGTGAGAAAACCGAAGCTGCCTTGTCTTTCTCCTCAGTGGCAGACGTATATTCATTTCAAAGTTTTATAGTTCTTTTTGCTCCTGACTAAGGAGGGCGGTTGCAAGGGAATGAAGGTGGAAGGGAGTGTATGGGGTGGAGGGATTCGTCAGCGACCAAGGGGCCAGACGTTATCTCTTCACCATTTTCCTTTCTATTTGGATTCTATTCTGTTTAGGCATCGTATTTCAAAATCTGCTCGTAACACAGGTGCTGTGCACACCTTTTGTAGTCTTCCTCTCAAGCCGTGTCTACTCTTCCTTTCAGCACTGAGTCAGGTCGCCATGTGCCCCCGTAGTAGCTTCAGTTCTGTTATTTGTCCTCTTTGACATTTTGTAGTGCAACTCATTTCTTAAAATATACATTGTGCTACCCAAATTTGGGGGGAAAGGGAGGTGTCATCCTACAAATAAATGTCCTGATCTCGCATACTCCTGTTTCTCCCACTAGGAGCTTACCGGTGTTAGGAGTCTTTTTCTTTTTCTTTTACATTTTTAGTTTTATCCATGTCCCTATTTCTCCTACATTTTGTGGCTTTCTTTTCCTCCTAATAATCATCTTCCATTGGCCTGTTTGTAAGTATCTACCTTCTTCCTTGCTGTCATCATCATCAGTATTTCTTGTAGACGTATTAGTTTCCTATAGCTGATCCAATTTCCTGGTCCCTGCGTGGTTCTTAGTCCTTATTGCTTTGTTTTTGTCATTTAGGCTTCTCCCATGAAGCACCACTTCACAGGTGAGGCCTGTGTACATGGGGCCCTGGGAGGTAATAAAGAGTAACAATGTAGGGGCGCCTGGGTGGCTCAGTCATTAAGCATCTGCCTTCAGCTCAGGTCATGATCCCGGGGTCCTGGGATTGAGCCCCGCATCGGGCTCTCTGCCGAGCGGGAAGCCTGCTTCTCCCTCTCCCACTCCCTCTGCTTGTGTTCCTCTCTCGCAAGAGTAACAAGATAGTTTGCAAACACTCCAACCTCCTTCTGCCCTTTAGCTTTCCTCCTATATGTCTGGCCGTGTCATCTACCTCTTCAAAAACCTCAGTGGATTCTGTCTACCGAATTAAATCCAAATTTCTTTGCTTGGCTTTCAAGGCCTCAATCTGCCTTTCCAATTTTGCATCCTGCTGAGATCCATACATACAGAAGACTCAGTGCTCTACAAGCATGCCCTGTGCTTTCTGAACCCATGTACTTTTTGCCTAAAATTTTCTCTCTCCTTTTCTTCTAGTAACTTCATCTCAAAATCTTACCTAAGGCCCAGCTCAAATACGACTTTCTCCATGAAATTTTCTGTTTAGCTCACCTGGACATACAAAAGGAATCAGAATTTTAGACGTAGAGGGGACTTGGAACTCATTCTACAGAAGAGCAGATTCATCCTGATATCCCTCAACTAGATGTATATCCTTTCTGCCCGCCCACAAACTCCCAGGCCTATGCCCATACTTTCCATTTGACTTTCATGGCCTCCTCTGACTTACTAGTGAACACATCTTGTCTCCTTGACTAGTTTATAAGTTCCTTGAGGCAAGAACTGAATCGTCTTTATCTCTGTATTTCTCTCAACACATAGTTCACATGCAGTAATTTTATTCAACTGTATTGAATATTTGGTCTGTGTGAGACTAAAATAAACAAAATCCCTTTACCATAAAACATCATTATGATCAGTGTGTGTCCCCATAAAGCTGTTGAGAGCCTGATTTGTGTGTGACTAGTCCTGAATGACTACTATTTGAAATAATAACACAACTATTTAGTGTGATTAAGCCTGCGCTCAGAGTGGCTCATGAAAATACTTACAGGAGTCTCAGGTAGTTCAAATTCCAAGAATGGGAAAATAATGTGAATGAGTCATCAGGATTTTTTGTTGGGTCATGCTATGTATGTTTTAACCTGTGGTCACAAACTAGCAGTAGTGGAGAGTCGGGCCCCAAATTAGACAGCAGGCAGGAACGTTGGCCTTCCCCACCTTCCCATATTAATAGGTTACAGGTTGCTGCAGCAGGGCAGGTCGTGTTTCAGAGAGCAAGACCACATTTTCAAGAATGTTTAGATAGCATTTCAATCTGTGGTGGAGTTTTGTGTTCGTCTCCTTAGAATCCAGACAGAAAGGAAGCCCAGAAGAAATAATTGCTTTTCCTGTCATCCCCTCCATCTGTCTTTTCCAGCAGTTTGTAACACAAGCTGAGGTCGAGACTTTTTTTTTTTCCAGGGAGCTTTTGGGTCCCATCCTTCTCAACTCCAAGGGGTAAAAGTCTTGCTGTCCAGCCCCGGCTGGCTGGTGGTTTGCTGAAGAGAGACTCTTATTTGACTGGCACAGACTTGGGAGAGTTACAGATGTTCCAAAATACCGACTTTTATAGGTCAAGAGGCCCCAGATTCCCCTCTTCCCTGGAATAGAGGAAAAGTCCGCCTTCAGAACTTATTACCTAAGCTTCTGAGGAACACTCGGGAGGAGGGCAATATTATGGATCGAAGGACATTGCATCTTGATTATGTTCAACCAGAACTGATGTGCTTTTTAATTTGTAAAGAAGGGGGGGAATGTTTACTTCCTGTTCACAGTGTCTTAAAAGATATTTTTAGCAAAAATTTTTGAAAAGCAGTGCTTCTCACTACAAAATTATTTCTGAGGAGGCAGTGATTTAGAAATTGAAGGTACAGTAAGGCACTTTCTTTGATTTTTGAGATTTCTGAAGTACCAGCTGCCTGGTTAGCACTCTGTTCCACATTTTGGAGAGCCTCTGATTGTTGACCACCTCCTACATGGCAGACTTGAACTGGTTTAGTCTGTGACCTCTTCTAACCAGACTGTGATGCTCGTACAAAGTTAATACAGCACAGAATTCTCCCCATTTTCTTCTGCTGAAATCATCAGGCAAAAGCTTTAATTAAATGCCCACATGTTTCAAACTTTGTGGGTAAGATGAGTCAATTCAATTAATACAGGATCTCATATGCTCTGAACCTTCTGCAGCTTCCCAAGAATTAAAACAGACGGCTTGACTGTGGGTAGAAAGAGGTGAATAGAGGAGCAGGTTGGAAAAAGAAAAGGTTGGCGTGTGACGTTTCAAGGGTGGCTCAAGCTTGACCACTTCCCAGTATGCTCACTGAGAAACACCAAAAGCATCAGCCACTGGGCTTCTGTCTCTGGAGTGGAGCTTGGCTGTACTGTTACTGTTGCATCAGAGCAAGATTAAGGTTTGGGAGGGGAAGAAAGTGTTAATTGCCATCTCTAGCTCAGCTCACCAAAATTTGATTGTAAGAAGCTTTAAGTATCCATGGTACAATCTTGCATGCAGTTCAGGAATCCTTTCGGTGATAGCCTTGACATTTCATTGGCCTTCTTCCGCGTGGGCAGTCACGGTGATGGGCAGCTCACTATGTTGCTGTATAGGACAGTCTCAGTCTATTCCAGCTTCTGGCAGCTTTCGTTGTAAGAAACTTCTTTCTTAGACTGAACTGAAATAGTAAAATAGACCCCATTTTAACATCTCATTGCTCTAGTTCTGCCAGCAGGATGGGTGTAAGCCTAATCCCTTTTCCTCATCATAGTTTCTAAAATTTTAAATGGGTATTATGTTCCTTTCTTAGTGTTCCTTTTTCTAGGCTAACCATTCTTAGTTTCTTCAGCTTTATGATCTGATTTCCAGACCCTTTATCATCCCGGTTGCCTTGCAGTTTGTCAGCATCATTTTTAAAATGTGGTTCCTGGCCAGGAGTAGACATACTGTGTAGACACACAGTGGGATGGCTTACCTCCTTGTTCTGCACGGGGGCTGTTAACGTGGGAATTGGGGTTCAGGGGGACTGAAATTAATTATTATAATTCCTGAAATTAATTATTCATTTTTGTATGAATAGATTTATTTCTTGAGAGAGTACTTATTGATTTTTCTAAATTCTCTAAGGAGTCTGACTCTTCAAAGGTTAAGGACCACTGGTTTAGACACTGTTCTCCCCTTACCTCGGACTGGGTGCAGTTTTTGGCAGCCGTGTCACACTGTTGGCTTCTGCTGACAGTCGAGTTGGCTGTTCTCTGAAACCCCCAGGTCAAGAGTGGCAAACAGATGTCCACAGAGCTAAGAAAGTGATCTAAATGGCTTCAGCAGGCCAGTGTGCATCCACATGTATCCCGTGGGCAAATGAATGCTCTGTCTAAAGGGGACAGCCACAACCCAGTTCAAACTAGCTGTGGTCAGGCCTGAATGCAGACCCAGAGATGCCAGATCTATCAGTTTTTCAAGAGAAGCCGGAAATCCGGATTTTTATGGGACTCTCCAGATTTTTAGATGTTGGCTTATTGTCTTTCACAAATACTGCTAAGGCCAAACAAAACACATCTGTGCCATCAGTTTGCAACATCTGCCCCAGGTCTTTTTGCATATGAACTACTTTTCAACTTTTCCCTCCTCTGTTTAAGAGATTCTGTTGAGATCAAGTGTTGGACTTTATGTCTCCCCCCACCGCACCCCATTTCATCTTGCTAGTTTTGCTTAATTGTCCCAGCCAGTTGAGGCCTTTTGGAATCTTGATAACCTCCCCGTTTTATCATTAGCAGACTTGCCAGGCATGCCTTCTGTGTCTTCATTCACGTTGTAGATGAAAAGGTTGAACAGGATGGGTTCAGAGCCATGTGGCTCTCACTATGAGAGACTTATTTTTCTCTTCCTTATCCTCATTTTGGTACAAAGTGCCAGCCCCAGAAAACACAGAATTTCTTCCTGTCCTTGG